ATGATGATGGTGATGATGATGAAGGTGATGGTGATGATGATGATTATGGTGATGATGATGAAGGTGTGGATGATGATGTCAGCTGCTGGTTCGTCAGGCTGGAGGCGACAAAAAACTGTGACCTCATTTTCTTTGTTTCATCTGTGTCCAGTTAGCCTAGCTTAGCACAAAGACTGGAAGCAGAGGGAAACTGTTAGCCTAGCTTAGCACAAAGATGATTATACTTTTACTGCAGTAACTGAATACTCCTCACACCCTCAGATGTCATAACTGCAGCAGATATCAGAGAGTGTTTCAAGTATTGATCAGCTGCTCAGCTGGGAACCAATCAGCTTCCTGTGTGTGTGTGTGTGTGTGTGGCCCCCCAGGGCTTAATGAAATAGGAGGGTCCATCTGGGGCTCTTTGAATCGATCAGAGAGAGAGAGAGAGAGAGTGGGGGAGGCGGGGGAGGAGAGAGTCGATGTGAGCAGCAGACAGAGACGCCACCTCACTCTTCACTTCGGAGAGAAGAGGAACAAGAGAGGAAGTGAGGAAGAGAGCAGAAATGGAAATAAACACCAACAAACAAGGGGCAGAGCTTTTATTTTGAAATTTCTCTGTAAGTTTGGCAGAGGACTTCTCTTCTTCTTCTCCTCCATAACCCTACAGGGTTTAATTTTTTAGAAGATGATGCCAGGCTTCAGGGTAATGCTGCTGGTCCCCGGGGTCGTCATGGCGATGATGGTTGTCCGGATGAACGGGGCGCGAGTGGTGAGCGGTGAGTTACAAAATAAAAGTTCAAATGAATGAAAAGTAAACCGGTTCCATTTCTCTCAGTTTGTTTCTGTTGACTTTAGTTCAGTTTGGGTAAAAACGCCTTAATAAAGTTAATGTTAATAATAATAATATATATTAAATATTAATGATTAAAGGGTTTTTACCAAATACCATTAAACCATGCTAGTTAGTAAATGCTAAAGGGTATTTAACCCTTTAAAAAACCCTTAAACAGTAGATAAAAGATAAAAATATTATAATGAGTTCATGAAACCCACATTAAATGAAGGGCTGCTGTGACATTTTCACATTTTAAGATGATTTGAATATTAATGATAAATGTGATAATAGAAGCTGAATCATTTTAACATTTCCGCTCTGCTGCTTTGTCAAATTAAAATTTTTGCCCATGGGGGATCAATGAATCTGATCTTAAGGGAGGACATTTTGTCTCGACTACAGGAAGTACTGAAAGGAGTTGTGATTTAATTTTTTAGGTTTCTAGAATCTGGTTTCAGCGAGTATGCGTCCTTTGTCTCACTCGTGTACATACAGCCGTGATCGCACACTATCAAAGTTAATAATAATAACATTCAGTATATGTGTGTATTTTAACATATCGAATCAAAGTTCAGGTATCAGAATCAGAGTTGGGAAGTAGAGACAGTGTCAGAAGATCTCCGGTTGATAGGGTGTGGCTTGGTGGTTTGTGGGGCGTTCCGCGGTGGCGTTTGGCGTTGTCGGCAGGGCTGTCACATTGTTGTTTTGAAATGACACAAATTTGTTCAAATAAATGAAAAGGACCCCAAAGCAACCAGACGAACATAAAGACACTGAAGGAAGAGGAACCAGCCCCAATCCTCGCGTATAAATCTCTCTAATCGGTGGTTTTACCTTCTGGCGAGCTGCAAGTGGAAATGAGGTTATATAGTGGACGTCTCTCCGCTAACGTTAGAGATCACACAGAGACGCGTCAGAACAGGCGCCGCGCTTCGCAAACGCCTCGTCAAAGAGCATAGTGAGCAAGCTGTATGGGCCACATGAAGCCCCGCCCACAACGCTGTACCCTGTTACACTCGCAGAAGTGGTGATGTTTGATTTCATTGGCTGTCGGAGCGGTACGAGTCCGAAAAGTTGAGAATAATTTAACTTTTACGTGCAGCTAAATAACACAATGTCAGACCAAAAGAACCACAGGAACCACAAGAACCACAAGCAACCGAAAAGCGCAACAACCTCCAAGAACCACGGGGAAACCAAAAAACTAGCAAGTAACCAAAGAAGCAACCACAGAACCACAAGAACAAAAGAACCCTCAAGAACCGACCGGGACGCCAGACACACAGAACAACAAACCACGCGCACGAACCACAGAAAGACGAAGGAACCAACAAAGACACTACAAGCAACTACAAAAACCAGAAAGAACGCACCAAGAAACCACTAGAAGCGCACGAACGCGAACCGAAGAAGACAGACAACCAAAAGAACCACAGGCAACCAAGAAGAAGGCAGGGACACAAACAGGAATCAATAAGAACCAAAAACCCCCACCACACACAGAACACCACAAAAGACCACCAGTGGCATTCTCAGTCAACACGGATAAAGACCTTTTTACCGACCCCCTTGCGGAAGGCTTGTTTGACGTCAGACAATACCCTCGACGTTACGCAAGCCAGCAACGCCACAAACTGAGCTTAAACAACAAGCTAGCGCTGGACAAAGGAGGAGAATACAGAAGAAACCACGCATGCACACCACGCTGGTTTGCGAATCAGTTTATCTCAAGTGTTTATTAACCGGAAGCCCTCCCGTGTTGGGCGCCGCCGATAGCTCAGTGGGTACCGAGCTGGTGACCCATCGTCCGAGGCTGATCCTTGCTGCAGCAGCGTCATTTTTCTTAATCTGTCAGCATGTCTATGTTTTCTAACCTTTATATTAATTTATTTTTCAATGATTAGTTTTCTGTGCAGCTAATATGAATATACTACCGTTAACGATCAACACCTCACACAAAATTAGAAATGACAAGAATATACGACTTAAGGCAGAACAACATATACATGGATAAACGCGTCAGACCTAAAAGAGAACCCAACAAGAAAGTTGAGAAGAAGACACACAAGAAACAACAAACACAACACAACGACAGAAGCCGACAGGCCACTGATACGTAGGCAGCGACGGGATATCAGGTATGAGCGGAAGCTTCTTTAGTGGCTTTACAAAGTAAAGTGAATGATGTTGCAGAGAACGAGAATGCCAGCTAATCACTTAAAGTACGCCAAAGCTGTGTGTGAGGCGCTGGTTTGAACAGAGTATTAATCACACCACGCACACAACACACCAGGCCTCACACACCACACACACACACAGCACCCAGCCCTTATTCTACAAAGAAAATGTAGCAAATGAGTGTCAGACACAAAGAGGAACACAACATAATACAGTAGAAAGTTACACCAGATAAGTACATATAGTAATATAATAACTATTGTATTATTAACATGAATAAAGGTTAAGAAAACAAAGTATTGAAATATATAATAATGCATGGCAGACACTCAATGGAAATATCGGATGCCGAGGAGCGAATGGAGGGGTGGTAGGGCGCTAGGTAGTGATCAACGGGAATGGAAGGGGGTCGGTAGGGTCCTGAGTAACTGATCAAGGAGGAATGGAGCGGCGTGGGTAGCGGCGCGTCCTAGGTAGCTGATCAAGGCAGGAATGGAGCGGTGGTAAGGGGTCCTAGGTAGTGATTCCAACGAGGAATGGGGTGGTAGGGCTCTAGCGTAGTGCGATCAAGGTAAAAACTGGAGGGTGGTCAGGGTCCTCAAGCGTACTGATCAAGGGAAAACAGTGCAGGTGGTGAAGGGTCCTAGGAGCATGATTCAACGAAACGGCGCGAATGAGGCGGTACAATAACGTGAAAGCGAAGCCTTAGGATAAAGCAGGAAGGAAGCTTCATAGTTAAGGCTGAAGGAAGGTGAAGACAATAAGCCCTCTCCTCTCTCAGGTCAGACGGTGTGTTCGGGTGGTCCAGAGCATCCCTGCTATAAAATTGCATATTTCCACGATGTGTCGAGCCGCGTTGCCTTCAGGGAGGCGTGCCAGGCCTGTGAGATGGATGGAGGGTCGCTGCTCAGCATTGAGAGCCCGGCCGAGCAGAAAGACATTGAAAATCTGCTGGAGGTGAGACAAACAGATGGTCTTCTTCATCTCCGTCCTCCTTCTCTTCCTCCTCTCATCGTCCTCTTTGTGTCCAGGAGCTGCGTTCAGGAGCAGTGGGCGGGTCAGGAGGAGGTGCAGGTGGAGGAGGCATAGCGGACGGTGATTTCTGGATCGGTCTGACTCGGGTGGACGGACTCGATCAGGCTCATCCTGAACTCAGCAACACCTTCACTTCCTGTCCACAGCTCTACCAGTGGACCGACGGCAGTCGAGCCATCTTCAGGTGAGTGTGAGGTTGACGCTGCGTCAGGTGATCGACACTGTCCTCTGTCAGTCTCTTTACCTGCTGCTGTCAGCAGCCTTCAGAAGAGACAAGATTGTGTTGCCAGGCCTTTATCTAGACTCACCTGTTTCAGCCTCTGTACACTGGCTTCCAGTATGTTTTAGAATTGATTTCAGGATTTTACTGATTACCTTTAAGGATCTACATAGTCTCTGGCCCTGCTATATCTCTGATTAATTAGTACCATACACACCGGCTCGTTATGTGAGATCCTCTGGTATTTTGGCCCTAAAGGTCTGGAATAGTCTGCCTGAGGAAATCAGGTAAGCTGAGTCAGTGATGTACTTCAAGTCCCGTCTGAAAACATAGTTTTACCTGAAAGCCTTTCCTGATTTCACTTGAATTTAAAATTGTGGAAGAATCTTCTATTTCCTAAAGGTTTGCTTTATCTGCTTGGAAGTTTAAAACTTGATGATTATATAACATTTATTTATTTATTGTAAAGCACTTTGTAACATGGATTTTGAAAGTGCTCTATAAACAAAGATTATTATTCTTATACTAATGATGATAATGTTGATGTAGGAACTGGTATTTCGACGAACCGTCCTGTGGAGGAGAGGCCTGTGTCGTGATGTACCATCAACCAACTGCACTTCCTGGTCTGGGTGGGGCTTATCTCTACCAATGGAACGACGACCGCTGCAACATGAAACACAACTTCATCTGCAAATACAAACCAGGTACTGTCAGCTAATCAGCTTCACTCTCTGCTAAACAAACCAGGAACCATCTGTTTGTCTTTCTGATTTCTTTCTTTCTTTCTTTCTTTCTTTCTTTCTTTCTTTCTTTCAGAGAGCCATCTTGAACACACACCTGGAGATCGGGGCACAGGTGAGCAGGACAGCTCTTACAACTTCCACATGTTCTTCATTCGTTCCAAAATTTAAATGTGTGTGTGTCCTCAGAAGTGACAACAGGTGGAGGTGTGGTCACAAAGCCTGCAGGCGGCGAGGAGGTTCCTCCTGAGGTCACCATGGCTGGAGCTTCAGGTACAAACTGACCTCTGACCTCTGACCACATCTGACTGAACTCTGGTCTGATTCCTGTGTCTGTCTCTGTTCAGGCATGTTACTGGTCTATGTGATCATCCCCACAATCCCCCTGCTGCTGCTCATCCTGGTGGCCTCTGGGACATGTTGTTTTCAGATGCTCAGTGGAAGGTAAGACAGGATGTTCCCTTTCAAAACCTTTTTTCTTTCATTAATTTATCGAGAGTCCAGTGTTTGGAGCTAAGGTTGGCTTAGCTACAGAAACAGCAAGTGAACTCAGGTGTTTGTCACTGAATAAAGAGTGGAGTTCCTCCTGTATGTGTGTCTACTCTCAATGTACAGGACCCTGTAAACAAACACTGTACATAACCACATCAAAAACATCCTACTTTACAGGAGAGCCAATATTATTTAAAAAAATATTTTTCAACCTGCTTTTAATTTAACATTTTATCTCATGTATGCCTGGTTCCCTAAATGATCTGTGTCTGGTTCCCTATATTGTCTGTGTCATGTGTCTGCTTACCTATATTCTGTGTGTCTTGTGTGGTTCCATTTATTCTCTGTGCCATGTGTCTTGTTTACTAAATTTTGTGTCCTGTGTCTGGTTACCTATATTCTATGTGTCTTGTGTCTAGTTCCCCATATTCTCTTTGTCTAGTTCCCTATATACTATATGTCCTGTGTTTGGTTCCCTATATTCTCTGTGTCCTGTGTCTGGTTCCCTATATTCTATGTGTCTGGTTCCTTTAAGCTTTATGTCTGGTCCCTATTTCTCTGCATCATGTGTCTGGTTCCCTAAATTCCCTGTGTCTGGTTCCCTATGTACTCTGCGTCTGGTTCCCTAAAGTATGTGTGTCATGTCTCTGGTTCCCTATATTCTCTGTGTCCAGTTCCCTATATTATCTATGTCCTGTGTCTGGTTCCCCATATTCTATGTGTCCTGTGTTTGTTCCCTATATTCTGTGTATCCTGTGTCTGGTTCCCCATATTCTCTGTGTCTGGTTTCCTATATTCTATGTGTCTAGTTCCCTATATTCTATGTGTCCTGTGTTTGGTTCCCTATATTCTGTATCCTGTGTCTGGTTCCCTATATTCTATGTTTTTGGTTCCCTTTATTCTATTTGTCTGGTTATCTATATTCTATGTGTCTGGTTCCCTATATTCTATGTGTCCTGGTTCCAGTTCCCCATATTCTCTGTGTCTGGTTCCCTATATTCTCTGTGTCCTGTGTCTGGTTCCCTATGTCCTCTGTCCGGTTCCCCATATTCTCTGCGTCTAGTTCCCTATATTCTATGTGTCCTGGTTCCGGTTCCCCATATTCTCTGTGTCTGGTTACCTATATTCTATGTGTCCTGTGTCCTGTGTCTGGTTCCCTATTGTAAAAATGAAGACTGACCCAGAGAAAATACATATCCCAGCAGCCTCTGTTCCTGCTGAGGATGCAGGGTTCTAGTGTGTGTGTGTGCAGTGCTTACTCAGTGATTATGACGACTCAAACACTCAGATGTCTTGTTAACGAGAACTGATTTACAGCTTCTGGCTCAGTGTCTGTGTGTGAGTGTGTG